AAACACATACAAGAATAAAGAAATGTTAAGTGTGTAATTCGAATTGCATTAGGTGTAGCTAAACTTTCAGCAGGTAGTGTACCTCAATTATTATGTACTCATACTCGTGAGTAAGCATATTCCTATATTATGAATTTAATATACGATTATTTGTAGATAGGAAAATAGGACAATCGAACAGGTAAAACGATGTATTATATTTGATCGAAAGGGCCATCGTTTCCGTCCGACCTCGTGCATTCCACGTTCAGCACGTCGAGTTTTCTTGGCGCCAGATAATATTTTTTTCGAATGTCCTTCGTCGCGCGAGCGACTAACAGGTAGGTAACATCGGTGTTCACATTTGCATGCGCGTGCGTAAGTACACGCACGTTACATACTCGTCGCTCGAGTTTTCCCATTAGAAAATCCGTGAGTCGCGGTAAATCGTAGACGCGAACGTCCTGTCCGGTCTCATTTAATTATTTCATACATGCGACATCGTACGATAATAATCTCTTAAAGATATATCTCTCGTAAAGCTGTCTGGTAGCAGCTGTCGTCTCACGCCAAAAAAGAAAGACCAATGAAAAAAAAAAAGACGAAAGAAGGACAAGCAAAGAAAAAAACAAATAATCAGATTAGCATTAAGAGGAACGTTAAAACTTTTTCGAAAAACGTTTAATATTCCTGGATCAAATCGGATGAAGAGAAGAGAAGAGACAGTAAAACCGGTTGATTCTCGACAACACGCTCGTGCAATGTAAGAATACAAATACATACACAAAATAATGTGCACGTATATTCCTCATACTTTGTGGGAACCTCGTTCATGGACGAATAATCGATTGATCGATATTCCACGATCTCTCTCGATCACGCCCAATACAATAAAGATTTCTTTCTTCTCTTTTTTTCCTTCTTTCCTTTACCTCTCTGTCTCTTACATTCTGCATCGACATTCTCCAAGATTTCAACAATAATCGTGGTTGCACGAGAGTCCGGGTGTAAGACCACCCGCCCCCCTCTACTCTCCTTTCGGTGTAACCATATATACACTGCCACGACTTGGCCGCCTTCCTTTGATTTACGATAATTAAAGCTGACCCGACCTTTCGTCGCGAAAGAGTTGGAAAGAGCTTGACTTGGTGTGTTTCTTCGTCGGCTCTGGCGCCGATGAGAGACCACGCGAGTGAGGTATTAAACGCGAACACTCTTCCTCGACTCTCCTTCTTCATGCTTTCACTCTGTTCCTCTCTTTCCCTCTAGCTTTCTATCCTCCTTTCATTTTTTTCCCTACGTACCGACGTTCTTTCCAAGCTTTGGCTCTCCTCTCCTTCCACTCTTTTTCTTTCTTTCTTTCTCTCTCTCTCTCTCTCTCTCTCTCTCTCTCTTTGTCTCTCGCTCTGTCTGTTTCTTGCTCACTCACTCATCTGGCGGAACCAACGGGGTAATTGCACCAACGAAGAACAAGCTCACCAACCAGTCTTTGCGTTTTTCCTCGAGGCGATTTTGCGAAAAGGGTCGATTGGTTAGGCCAAGCGTACTTTTAGATAGCCGAAGGTGTACGTGATCGAAGGTCATACTGGATGGTAATCGTGATTTACTTATGATACTTATCGAGCAAACTATATATATCGTACCTATCTGTGCACGTTTATCCCTACGTCACGAAAATCATCCTTATCATTATTCAAACCGTATTCAATCCTTTTCCGAGAAATATTTTTCTCAACAAACATACCTGATTACGTATTCCTTTCTTTCTTTCTTTCTTTCTTTCTCTCTTAGATTCTTTTTCTTTTTTTCTTTTTTTTTTTTTTGTCTTTCCCTTTCTCTTTCTTTCTGCATATCCGAAGTGAAAAACGTTTGAATTGGAAATTATTCATGAAAATGAAATCAAAATGAAATTCAATTACTTTATAGAGATTTTTATGGAAATACTCGAAATGTGCGACATGATAAATAACATTTCTCACACTTGAAAAAACTCCAAGGTTTTAAAAACGTAGGTACGCAGAAAAAAATGAGGGAGCAGGTTAAATAAAAGTTTCACCTACTACGCTTTCCCAAGGCATTCAGAGAGAATAGGATGAGGATGAGGTGATAGAGGATGACGACGACGAGGAGTAGGAAGGGGAGGAGGGGGAGAAGATGGATGAAGGAATATGACGAACGAATGGCGAGGGAGAAAAAGACAGGTGGGAGGGAAAGAGAGAGAGAGAGAGAGGAAAACACGAATAGGAAAGAATTTTTCAACGAATGGGACGCATGTATAAACCTGAATGTGGTAGTAGAAATTCGCGAGGTGTTGGGAGATAACGACTTCCACTAAAAAATTGAAGAAGCTTACGTTGTGGTAGAGTTGATGTTCTTGGTAGGTTTTATGATAGTAGTAGTAAAAGGTATACACTAGGTATGACACTTGGTAGTAGTAGATAGCAGACGGAAAAGGATTCTGTGAGAGATAGGTAGGCAGGTAGGAAGGTAGGTAGTTTGAACACAACCGCTCACAAAATGTCGAGAACGTTGCTGGTTCACCCTCGTCTCATCTTTCCTTTAATTATTAACGGGGCTAATATTTTTTTCCCGAGCTATGCTCGTGCACGAACGTTGCTCGTCGTCATCGTCGTACTCGTTGTAGTCGTTGGACTAGTGAAATTACTGAAAGATATGGTGTCGTGATAAATTCTTCAAGGCTAATTATTTACGAATGATGTATGTGGGTAAATGCATGTGATAAAACGTACGTCACAATGAAAAATGGTAACCCATAAAAAAACAAATACAGGATAATCGGTAAATTTTACCACGAACCATTTGCCGTATTAAACGTTTAGGTATTAAAGAAATACAATCGGTGTTAAAAGTTAACAAATTAACACTGGCGACGTAATATTATGTCATATCAAAATTCGTAATTAAACATTCGTGACACTGTTCTAAGTTATTAAATATCAAATTATAATTATTAATTTGTTTCATTCATTTCGATTGACTGTCAAATGTTTATTTATAATTATATTTTCGTATATATATTAAACTATTTTAGAGAGTAATATATCTTAATTGAATAATATTTTAAATATTTTAATCAATTGCAGTGTATGAGATGCTGAACGTTTCGTTCGAACAACACCGATCGCGAATGTGTTAAGTTAGACAATCAATAGTAAATTATCAAAATGTTTCTGAGAAAGGATCCTTAGAAAGTTATCTATAGAAATTGGACTAGGTAATAAGTGTTTCTGTAAGAGAAGGTTACTCACTTTCCGAATTCCTTCTCGTAACCGCTTTTACCGCTTAAACTGTAAACTATTATCGGACGCCATCGTGTCTCTCTTTCTCTATTTCTCTCTCTCTATTTCTATCTCTCTTTCTCTCTTCGTAACGCGTAAACGCATAGAAACTTCAGAGACGAAGAACCATTAAACGGACCCAAGCGAAGGCGCTTTCCCGTTGAAGCGACAACTTTCTCGTTGGATAGATCTCGCAGAGGAGAAAGACGAAGAGAAATAAGAGAAGGGGGAGGGAGGAGTATTAGGAGGAGGTGGAGAAGGAGGAGGAAAGTGTCGTCGTTGGTGGTGTGCTTGCCATCGCGGAAACACACGCTTCGCTTCTACGAATTTATTCGAGTTGATGCGATTAACGATGTCGTCGCCATTTCGGTGAGCGCGTCTCGTCTCTCATTGGAAATACCGTGGAAACTTATGAGACTCGGAAGGAAGAAAGGGTGGAAGGTAGGGGGATTTGAGAATTCCATTGCGGCGTGTCTCTAGGTAGTCAGACACGTTACCATTGTTTCTCGCTTTCGAAACCATCAAGGATGTTAAGCGATGTTGCAGGTGAAACCATTCATCGTTACAACGATGACGAGTACGCGAGAAGATGTCGGGGACGATAATTAGTTAGCCATGAGAGATCTCTCGACAGTCAGAGAAAGATAGAGAGAGAGAGAGAGAGAGAGAAAGAGGGATAGAAAGTGAGAAGGAAGGAAGGAAGGGATAACAGCACGTAGTCCAGGGGGCCGTTCAAAAGTAGCTCTGGGGGAGCATAATCCATCATCGAAAATGGCTTTGGCGTAACGTAACCGGTCGGCCGGTCGGTCGGTCGGTCGGTCGTGCCAACGACTAATCAACGAGCCTGACTCGCTGTATAATTAGGCTTGTCTTTCTATCCTATCCGTTTCTCGTTCTCTCCTAGAAAGCTCATAGTAGAAACGCTCATGCTTTTTTCCCTCGCGTGCTTCGCTTCAGAAAGGTTACGTATATACAAATATATATATATATATATATATATATATATATTTGCTTTTACTGGAAATGTATATTTGTGTGTGTGTATGTATGTGTGTTTATATGTGTATATATATCATCTTTCATCTGTGTACGTGTGACTCGTAAAAAGCATGGCCGTGTTTAGTTTACGCTACTATGTATATAGATCGTTAGGGTAACTTACGGCTAAGTCATCGTTTACCAGGATCGTTAATATCCGCCATCGAGAATCTCGATCTCTCACGTTGATTTGCATTATACACTAGAGGGTTGAAGGTTCATTAAAAAAGATGGCTATTATAAATTAACGATCCCCTTTAATGTTAATTTTTATTCAACCCGGTCGAAGTAGAAATGAAAGTCGAATGAAAGAAATTAAAAATAATGACGTAGGTAGGTATTATTTTTTGTTCCTTTTCTTTTTATTGAACTTTGTAATGGAATATCGTGCATGTGTGTATCACGTACGAAGGACCGATGATACCGAGTGATACTCGGATACTTGTTTCAGTACAAGTACCTCGAGTACTTGGCTCTGCTACTCGAATCTGCGGATATCAGAGTTGAGCGTCATCGAAAAAGAAAAAGAGAACTCATTATGTGTATGGCACGAGCTAAATGGCAGATTTAACGATCCCTCGAGTTCAACTCCTCTTTTTTCTATTGCCCTTTTTCTTCTTCCATTACCTAAGTAGTACTTACTTACTTAGTTACTTATTTCCCTTTCGTAAAAAATTGTCTTACCTTCTCCGGACGTGAAGGGACGCACGACGCCAGGCAACAGGACGCAGAACAAGAGAAACAGCGAGCACGATTTCGGCCTCATTTCGTAGATACCGTCACCGACGAGGTCATTCGTTCATTTTATTTAACTCGTTGCAAAAAATGAACGAGATCGGTCGGTGATTTATCGATTCGTGGAACGAACACGTCACAGCACTCGTCACTGCGCGCACCGAGTCCTTTTCGATCTGGCATCTGCAATTAATATCAAATTATCATTAGAATTATTTATATTAATTATTTTATAATTAACAAATATAACGATTATATAAATGAGTAGGATAAGAAAAAAAAAGTAATTTTTGTTGTTTAAATCTAACATTAATTAAACGTCATTGAAAACAAAATTGTCTTATCGAAGATTATTTAAGAAATGAAATATTATAGTCTATATTATTTCGAATAGAAACTTTTTAAATTTGTCGATATAAAAAAAATTGTATTCCAAGCTCGACGATAAAAAATTAGGTTAGAGTGAGTTAAAGTTTAGGTAGGATATCAGTAAGATCTTTCGTTTAATATCTTTTAGTTCCATTTCTTTAACTCAACAGTACTAGCAAAAAGAAAAGAAATATCGTGCGATAGATGAAAAGCTCGCAACCAAAAGAAACATAAATAACAAGCTCGGCACGATTACGGGTTAGTGAGAAAACTTATGAAAGAAACGAATTGCTAGCGTTTTCGCTTCGAGATAAGGAAGACTATGCATAGCATGGTAAGATAAATGAACGAGTTGGCCCTTTAAGAATCGAGACTTTTCAACCTCGTTCACGCAAAAGTCGGTCCACATTTTCTTTCTTTCTTTCTTTCTTTCTTTCTTTCTTTCTTTCTTTCTTTCTTTCTTTCTTTCATTCTATTCCTCTTTATCTATCTTTTTCTATCTTGCTTCGATGCCAATCAAGAAAGTGAAAAAGAAAACGTGAAAAAGAGAAAGAGTAGGTTCTTTTTACAAAATGAAAATGCCTTTCTACACGCGAACGAGGGCAAAGAAACGAATCCGAGTGGTATATAAGGTCGAAAGGGAACTTTTGCGAGAGGGGGCTGAACGCGTTGCTTCGTGGCAGCGTTGTTTCTACCGGAAAACGTAAAAGACGGTTAGGAGAGTCGAGAGTGCCACTTACGAGCTAGCTAGCTGGCAACCCTTGCCGTCTAAATATTCCAACGGTAGTGGTGGATACTTTCCCGCACGCGAAATTTCCGTGGCGCCTTCGTTCCCAGTCGTTACCGTGAAAGGAACGAAGGAAATTCTATGTGTACGTGTATGTGCGCATGCGTGTGTGTCAGAGAGAAAGAGAAAGAAAGATAGAGAAGTAGATATGTTCTCTCTCTCTCTCTCTCTCTCTCTCTCTCTCTCTCTTTCTCTCTCTTTTTGAACGATCGAACGACTCCTTTCTACCCTCACATAAACGAGCTCTTCTTCCTATCCTCATCTAATGAACGACGAGATTATTAATTAAACGTGATTTTGCTAATGGAAAAGAGAATCGTTTTATAAATCATCGAATAAAATCGTTCGAATGAGAAACGAGTAAAATCAAACCTTCAATTCGTCGATAACAATAATAATAAATGCTAATAAAAATAAAATCGTCTGTGGGATATTAATGACAAGTTTTTACTTACTAAAATTAATCGTAACCAAAGAAACGTCGATATTCATTTACATGTATAACTCTTTAATTATACATTTCGTCGCGTCCACTTGAAATATTATCGATTAGAAACGATCGCTGGATTACTTCCAAGAAGGTAATAGCGAAATAAATAAATTTTTCACGCTAGGAGAAAGGGAAAGAAAAAGTTAATGCTAATCGAATGATTACGCGTTAAATTTACGGGTATTTACGTGCGAGAGTATTCGTAGTTACATGTTAAATATCTGTGAACGTAGAGAACGGTGTTGTAAAAAGGATTAGAATTTACGAGCTTAGACGGGGTCGAGATTCCGCGTATTAGAAAAATCTAAATGGCGCATTTTATTGGCTTGCCTTATGCGAGAAACGTTTCGCGATACGAGTTAAGTGAACACCTAACAAGTTGAAACGTCGTACACCTATTGCTACGCGTATGTGCTATTTATGTATAATATGTATATGTAAACGCATACTTACGTAGAAGCGCGTTACAGGATACGCGTTGGAAACTTGTGAAAAACGACGGGATTGACGTTGGCGCGCGTGAAAAGCTTGTTAGTATCGAACTTGTTATAAAAGCGTGCCGAATCGGTGAAGTGAGACCCGCCGAAGGGATCGTTTATCAACGTCGTTCCTCAAGGCTTCACGATACACGCTCGATTACATCGGTAAGAAAGTCGTACGCGCGCCACACAACCTCCCTCCCACCCCACAATCCTTTTCTTAAGTATACATAACGCGAACTAACATAAGTAAGTAAGAAACGAACGAGAAAGCATGTTCGAAGAAGAAGAAGAAGAAGAAGAAATAGCAAGAGGACAAGAGTGAAGGAAATTGATACTCTTAGAGAAAATATTGTCGGTGCGAAAGATACATAATTCCGAAATCAAAGGAGAACGGAATGGCAAAGGAAACGAGGAATTTCTTCGTAAGCGGAATAATCGGTGCGTTAGCGTGCAATAAATTCCGTTTAAACGAGGAGCGACTCTATTTTACGAGCCAGCCAGGGATTTATTCTAAGCCGACTCTCCTTCTAAGCATCGTGAAATCATGAGAAACGA